ATTGTTTAGAGCCTCGCCTCTATACAAACCGCACCCTTTAACTATTGGTCTCAATAAAAATAACAGCAATAATAATAATACTAGAAAAATAATGAAATAAAAAATTAATATCAATGGACAACTTACACGGATATATTCTTAAATCATACAAGGGAGTTAAGGTTCCATACCAAATCCTATAGACCGAGCCATCTAGTGATAGGCAAACCTAAGAGTTCTCTTTTTAGTGAATCTCATTTACCTTGTATTTATTTTCATTCTTGTCTATCTCTTTCTTGAGAGATTAACCTCATTTTATAGAGTACACATAACTTTATAACTCTCATATTGATGGTCTATACAAGTTGAGGTCCAAGTATAACTCCCGCACTAGTTCCCTTATGTGCAGCTAATTAAGATTAACGGGATGTCACCAAACTGTTAATCCTCTATTATGGGCTAAACATGTCATTAGTTCAAAATGACTCACATACTAGGATGTCATCCAAGCATTCCCACAATATATTTAAAATTAAATAAACTTTGTATATCTACATGAAATTTTTTTACAAGGAATGTCATAATCCAAACACACCACTAGTTTTTCCCTCCAGTAACACAAGGTTTTCCTCCAGTGATAAATCCTATTAAAGTTCAAGAATGATCTAAATATATGGCATTGCTCATGTTAACCACATGGGATTTCACATATATTATAATTTGGCTTTTACACTATTATTGAAATTTTTTGAAAGAAAGGGCCAGATAGGCCACAGTTTCCAACATTAACCATTTTAAATAGTGGCCGAATTGGCCCTTGAAAGTTGCTCCATTCATAGGCCGAGTCCTGAAACACTTACAGCAGCCAACAATTTCTATGGGGAATATCCCCACAATCACCATTTCAACGAGGCCAAAAAGAAGAAGCAGATGAAATTAACCCATTTTGATAGCAAATATTTCAATTTACTCATCCAACTCAGCCTTCCATATTCATATTGTTCAAGAACTTAACCACCAAAATGACAAGGCAATTCCTCTCCATGGGATCACAAAAGGATAAATGTCGTTCAAGTACTTATAAAGAAGGATGTAGTTTCTATAAGACCAAGGCCTTGTGAAAAAAGTAAAGCCTCACCTTGAAATCTTGTTCGAAAAATACTTCCAGCATAAAAAATCCTTAAGATGGCTCTAAAATCTATTTCCACCATCTGTTATGAAATTTGTAGCTCAAAAAATGCAACAGATCTTGTGGATCTATGAGCACTTGAAAATGAATGGTCTAGATAATGCATAACAATTTTCTCAAGATAATGTAGTATTGTAATACACTACATTTAGGGCTAGAAATCCTAATATTTTTTTTCACAACTAAACAATCAGGGTTAAGATAATCAATTTGAAAGTTTTCTGGAACTATAGCTGTTAGTGAATTTTGAGGTGAGGCTTAACTATTTTTCATAAAGCCTGGCCTTATTTTAACCTTTTCTCACAAAGAAACACTTCAATTTACCCATCCTTATTAGACCCCCATCCTCAAATTACACAAGAAGTCCATTTACTCCCTCGGGTAGAATTAATCTTGGATTAATTTTAGGACTCTCAACTTTTGTAGAATTAATATGTCCAAGGGTTGAACCCATGGACTAACATCAATAGAAAAAAGGCCAAAATATTTTATACTCTCGCGAGAGTATACTGCCCATTTACTCCCTCAGGTAAAACCCAAAGTAGGAATAAATTTAGGACCCCAAATTTTAAGATATAACCTCTTCAACCCATAGACCAACCTCAGTGAAAAGAAAAAAAAAATCTGAATTGACCTCTTTGTATACAAGAAAAAAGTCATCATCATCAGCATCGTAGCCTTTTTCCCAAAAACTCAAAGTTTTTTTTTCTTCTTCTTTGGAAAAATAATCATCTAGTGATTCTTAGTGGTTCCCAAAATTTTGTATTGAGAAATCCTCCCAACTAGGTCTTTTAAACAAAGGGGTAGATTTCTAGTGTATATTCCCATGGGAGCACAATATATGCGCTCTAAAAAAATTTCAAAAAATAATATCTCAAGATTGAATAGGGACCATGAGATCTATCATTTAATAGTTAGGAAAATCAAATTTTAAAATTTTTTGTAAAAAAAATTATCTAGTGATTGTTCTCAAAATTTTACATTGTTCTTCCTACCATAGCATCTCCAAGAGTGCACACGCTCATAAATAAAACAAAAAGTATACAATTATACCATTTATCTTTGGTACTGGTCACAATTAATCTTGGCCATTGGATGTGAAATTAGATGGCTGCATTTATTCCATTGACCAAGCTTAAAAAAAGAAAAATTATTGAAATTTATGACACACACAAACTACGAGGTTTCACATAAGATGATTGTAAGTCATTGTGACCTTGTATTAAAGGTGAATGAACTTATTGTATACTATCCCTAAATAAAACTCAATGTAACACCCACACCAAGCACCAGACCCACTGGAAAAACAAAAGGCTATTTCAAATGGAAAAGGGAAATTTTTTTCATACCTGGGCATGAAGAAAAGTGCAAGCAGCTTCCAAACCAACCTCAAGAGCCCTAAACTCAAATGGCCAATTATCACGAGATCTATTCCCCAGAAAATCATCAATATTCATGCTCCCTTCTCTTCTCACCAAATCCCCACCACTTGGTGTGGGGAAATCCCCAACCCCCATATCATTCCTCATAGTTAATGTCCTCTGCAACTCTTGGACATATTCCAAAACATACTTATCCGAAGAACTGAGAAGAAGAACTTCATCAGCTGTTATTATACATCGAGTATGCTCCAGGTTAACCAAAATGGCCTTCTCTCTACAACGAATTGTTGGCGGGTAATCTAAGAGGGGATCAAGCATTCGAAGATCACGAGCAGGGAGATCACAACGCTCCATCATGGTGAATTTGTCGACCTCTAATACCTGAGAATCACCATATGAATCGACTCTGGTCCATGATCTCATACCATGGCCTACCTTGAGGTCCATGCCTTGAAGGAGGGCCCAAACTCGCTCCCAGGAAGAGGATGGCTTTGGGAGTGTGGGAGAAGTCATGTTGAGTTCAATCTAGAGCGGGGGAAATTTATGTCGGAATGAAGTTTCTATATAACGACTAGGCTTTATGAAAACAAAATAAAGCCTCACCTCAAAATCCTTCGTCTAAAAAGCACTTTCGGCACTGGAAAATGATGGTAATTTAGATAATTTATTATAATAGGCACTAATTTTTAGTGCATAAAATCCCTTTTTTTTTTTTAACAATCATAATGTTAAAGCCAAGACAATCAATGAAAAGCCTTTCCAATGCTTGAATTATAATTTTCGATGAATTATCTTTTGATAATTAAATTTTCTATGAGAATTTTTGGGTAATTAAAAAGTTGGTTCATTGGAATTGAACCCGGGATACTTCATGAAGGAGGAAAATTTTGGTGTACTTCTATCGGTGCTTAAGGCACGATTATACAGAAATACAATTTCTATCAAAAGATTAAAGCCCAATTGTACAGAAATACAATTTCTATCAAAAGATTAAAGCCCAATTGTACAGAAATACAATTTCTAACAATTATCACAAGATCTACTCCCAAGAACATCATCAAAATTCATGCTCCCTTTTCTTCTCACCAAATCCTCACCACTTGGCGCCCGCAAAACCCCAACCCCCATATCATTCCTCATAGTTAATTTCCTCTGCAACTCTCGTACATATTGCAAAGCGTCATCGTCGAAAGAATTGAGAAGAAGAACTTCATCAGCTGTTATTATCCATCGAATTTGCTCCAGGTTAACCACAATGGCCTTTCCTCTACCGAGAATTGTTGATGGGTACTCAAAGAGGGGATCGAGCAATCGAAGATGACGAGCAGGGAGATCACAACACTCCATCATGGCGAATTTGTCGACCTCTAATACCTGAGAATTATCACATGAATCGACGCCGATCCATTATCTCATACAATGGTCTACCTTGAGGTCCATGCCTTGAAAGCGAGGGTGAGCTCGCTTTTCACCAGAAGAATGGCTTTGTTAAAGGGAGGGCTCTCACTAGAGGAGTGGCTTTTGGAGCGTGAGAGAAGTCATGTTGACTTCATTTATAGCGGGCCAAATTTACGTATGAATGAAGTTTCTGCTTTATGAAAACAAATAAAACCTCGACCTCATATCCTTATCTAATAAACATTTTCGGCACCAGAAATCTTAATCATAGCTCTAAAAACAATTTACAACATTCGCAATACAATTTGAAACTCAAAATATGGTATAGATCTTTCAGATATATCAACACTTCAACGATTTGGATAATTTATTATAATGTATACTAATTTTAGAACTTAAAATACTAATTTTTTTCACAATTATAATATCCAAGCCAAGATGATCAGTGTAAAGGTTTTCCCAGTGCTTGAATTGCAATTTTTGATGAGTTTTAAGGCGAAACTTTACTTAGACACTTCATTGTTCGATTGAGAAAATTCTATGGAACCGAAAATCCTGAAAATCTTAAGAATCTGGATTAGGCCCTCTCCAACCAAAATCTTAATTGTTTTATACTTTACATTCATGTCCTATTTTTTGGGAGCTCATCCAGTATTTTAATTCTATCTTTTGTTCTATATACTAGATAAGACTAAAATTTTAGGTGTTTGTGCTTCTCACCATAATACATTTGCAAAAAATATTAATAAAAAATTCATTTAAAATGAAATAATTAAAATATTAATACAAATTTCATGGGTATTTTGGTTATTTGATCATTTTATTCCTGTCATATTATTTTCTTTTAGTTTTTACAAGTGCATAATGCTAAGAAATATAGACACTCAAAAATTGAGCTTAATATGGAAAAAATAAATATAATTCATGCTCTCAAAAAGTGGATATGAGCGGAAAATAAGAATACTAGGGGAACTTTTTAAATTCGTTAGAATATAAGGCAGATCCGCTAAAAACATACGAATTATTTAACATCCTATCCATTTATAACTATTCCAACTCGAGATCGTACATATTTTTTTATGATATTTTAAAATTAAATAAAAAGACATGAATAAGGTGTTAAATTGTTCAATCTACAATTAATCTAACAAAATAAAATGTTTATTTAAGGTTGTCACTTTATACTATGAGGTAAGATACACTTCAAAAATCATTAGAAAATAGCGTTTAGAGTTGGAGAACCTACTAATTGATCATCTCAACATCAAGATAAATAAATATAAAGAAAAAAAATTTCAAGTCTGAAAAATTATATTTTTATAACAATTTATCTAGACCATCTATTTTCAAAAAAAAAATTTAAGTGCTTATAGATCTACATGATCTACACCGTTTTAAGAATTTTAAAATTTTATAATTAGAATTGAACACAGATTACATCGTAACTTTGTCTCCTCACAATATTTAGAGGTGCGCCTTACTTTTACAGTATAAGGTCTGCACCTTATACAAACCATAGTTAGCAAGTCGAGGACTATCAATAAATCGACTCACTATAAAATCAGAAACAAATCATTTTTATTTTAAAAAATCAGATGAAAAAATCGGGTAAAAAATACGGATTGGCAAAAATACTTCATATAAAGATATCACTAATATATCGGATTAGATTAAAAAAATCGGATAAGTTTATACTATTAGAAATTTTGAAATTCCAAAAAATAAAAATTATGTCAATGCCATCAATAACTAATTCATCCGTAAAAATTTTATTAGACTAATATAATTAAGTCAATTAATGTAGATGTCTTGTGACTCTTATTCAATCATTCAATATTAAATATATAATTAACTAGTATATACCCAAAAAAATGTACCATATAAATCTACCCATTAAATACTTTAAGAAACATCACACCAATTTATTAAAAAGTTTATATAGAGCCAAGGCTCTAAACAATCAAATTTGGACTTACCCAAAAACTTTCACTAGAAGATTTTGTTTTGATGCCCAAATATCTTCAAATTGACCATCTCGACATCAAGATGCATGGACATGAGAAAAAAATGGATTTCAAGTTTTGGAAACAATATATTTTGTAAATCAATTTTGGATCGTCAATTTTTAAGATTTTCAAGTTTCCATAGATCTGTCAATCTACACTATTTTTGAAGCTTTAAACTTTATAAATAAATTTTATATAAAAATATATATTAAGGCTATTACAAAGATTTTCAATATTAAAACCATATTTTTCGATACTATTTAAAGGTCGGCTCTAATTTGATTGTTTAGAGCTTAGGCTCTCTACAAACAGCACCCATATATTGTATACCAAAAAAAAATATACTAAATTTATTTATTAAATATTTTAAGTGACAAATATACTTACATAAATTTATTCATTAAATGCTTACACATTGCATCGTACCGCTCGTAGAAATATGGGTTTTACATCTCCGTATTTACGGTTCAGAGAGAGAAGAAGGAAGAAGGAAGAAGGAAGAGAAAGAAAATAGGACTGGGCTCCCATTAGTATATAGAGAGAAGAAAGAAGAAGCTTCACAAACCCTGTCATTAAGGTTTACAGAGAAAAGAACGGAGAAGCTTCGCAAACCCTGCCAACAGGGTTTATAGAGAGAAGAAGGAAGAAGCTTCACAAACCCTAATGGAAGACGCTCTAACTGATTTTTGGGCTCATAGCCATTAGAGTTTATAAAGAGAAGAAGGAAGAAGCATCACAAACTGCTTTTAGGGCTTACAAAGAGAAGAACGAAGAAGCTTCACAAACCCTGCCATTAGGGTTTATAGAGAGAAGAATGAAGAAGCTTCACAAACCCTAATGGAAGACGGCCTAGCTGATTGTTAGAAAGAAAAAAAAAAAAAGGGATACTGATTTAAGGGTTTTCTCTTTGATTTGTGATGTTGTTTTAGAGAAAGCCCTAAATTTGTGAAGAGTTTGTGAAGATGCCTTAAGTGATTTTCAAAGTGAAGAGTTTGTGAAGAGGCCCTAAGTGATTTTTAGAGAGAAAAAGAAGAGGGTTTTTCATTTTCTTAGGGAAACAAGAGGCATGGCTGAATGATTAGGTTTGGGGAACTAATCCTTTATGTACAATTGCATAGTCATGTGAGTTTACAGTTCAAAATATTGATTACTTGTCCTCGGTCCTTAGTCACGCTCTATGCTTCTTAGTCACGCTCTATGCTTCTCAACTATGTTTTGAGCTCTAATTTCTGTCATCAAAGCTCTAATTTCTGTCATCAGTAAAAGTCTATGTTTTGAGCTCTTATTTGTGCCATAAACAGTGTTTTCATAAAAACAATTATCACAATTAATCACAGAAATCTACATGTATATGATTTTCTTTACACAACGATTTACTTTACAAAATGATTTGCTATAAACAGTATTTCATTTACACAATTATTTTCCATAATAATAACTGAAATCTGCATCTATTTTTTTAATTTTTTTGAAAAAAGGAAAAAAAATTCATACCTTCAATCAGCAACTGGCTTTGAAGAACAGGGTATAAAAATTTCTATTTTAGGTTTTTTTTAAATAATATTTTTTTTCAAAAGCGTGAAAGTAGCAATGGCTGCAATATAGAAAAATAAAAAAAATAATATATATATATATATATATATATAAATAAATATAGGAAAAAGCTGGTTTAGTCTACTAATTCATATGAACATATGCGTCCAGTGTTTCAGATTGAATCTGGATCGATCTGACGATTTCGGATGTTCAGTAGAATTTGAATTTTATTTTATTTTCAACAAATCCAAATCATTGAAATTTTAAGTATATGTTCGTTAAAAAATAGGTGAATCTTCGAATAATTTCAAAAAAATATTTTACATGAAATAAATTAACCAAAATACCCTGAAACTTTTCGAGAGATATTTTGATTATTTTTATTTTAGTCAATTAATTTTTTTAAATATTTTTTAATTTAAGTTACTAACCTTAAAAAAAAAAATTACAATATTTAAAAATTTCAAAGTTGTATTAGTATAATGTAAAT